CCAGACACAAGTGGTGTTTGGGGAAATATTACCAGATGTTAACCACAGGACACAGGAGGTAATTATCCATGTGAGATTCAGAAAACATGACCTAGAAAGGAGGAGCTTTGCTCACTCCATGAAGAGAGAGGGAAAAGGGACATGGCAGCAATATTCCAGCACATGACAAGCTTTAATTAAGAAGGCTCCAATCAGTTGTACTTTGGGAACACCACCAGTGGCTGCCTTAATCCACTGAGAGGGAAATTGAGGACAGATAGGATGGAAAGCTGTCTGAGCTTTACAATTAATCATTTTCATACCTTATCTCCAAAAAAAGCTGCTGTGCCCCATTGCTGGGAGCTGTTAAAATGACCTTGGCATGACCACCTGCGCTGGAGGCAGGGGTGCACTGGGCTCCAGAGGGCTCAGCTGGTTGACCCCCTGAAATTTGTGTCAGATTTGCATTCCACCCTTTATTTTTTAGTGTCAAAACCCAATAAATAACATCTTATAGAAATGTTATTATCTCCTCTGGAAGAAAACCATTTAATTTGGCACAGCTAGGTGCTGCAGCACCAGCCTTGGAATATCTTCCTTTTCAGATTCATATTGGATACCTCCAAGCCAACTGTGGACAGTAAGTTGTCCATACATGGACAACATCCCAAAGCATCTCTCCCTAAAGGCAGCTTTTTATCCCAGTGCTCCCAGTTTTATCTTTCCCAAACAAACACAGTGACATAAAACCAAAACAGGAAAAGATCCCCTGTTACACTTCTGACCCTCCTGTGTGCGTTGGGTTTAACATGATCTTCTCCATATCATCCTCAGGGAAAAGCCTTCAGGAGGAAAAGGATGGCATGCAATAAATTTCCTTCACTGTGATGTTTGTATCACATATTCTTACTCATTTTTCCTTCATTTTCCATACCTTTGGTGGCCCCATATAGCATTTTGCAGTAAAGCAAAAATTTCACCATCAAAGCAGAATTTTATACTTCAATTTACTCAAGTAACAGAGGAGCTTTGCTGATGCTGAACCTAACTTTGTATTTTTATGTGATTTTATTAACTCGTTTATATAAAACTGGATTACACTCTATTACCAATCTATTTTCTCTGTGTCTACAAGTAGCTGGTAATACAGCAGATAAATCTGAAATAATAGGAATAACAAAAGTACTATTGTGCACAATTATAGCTTGTAGCACCCCAAATCAGACATCATTAGTAACAAATGATGATATTATATAAAAGAAATACCATCTGAAAACTGATTTTACACGGCATATTAAAGACTTGATGGCTCAGGAGATGGGTAATAGAATAAAAAGCCTTTTATCTCAAGGTCATCAATTCAAATCCAAGTCAGACTGATAGCAACTGAAAGCCATTTGATGAGAGTGCTAATGAGCCTGGCCTCGTTACTGGAAATTTAAGAACACCTCAGCATTTAGCTCCTTGTGCTGCCCTGAGAGCAGAATGGGGAGGTTTGGAGGGGCAGATCCAGCCCAGCAGGCAGAGCTGTGCTTCCCTCCTCACCCACTGCTGCAGGAACCTGCTCTGCTCCAAAATTCACAATTCACTGCTCAGTCTTTATCGTGGGAAGGCTGGAAAAAGGGATTCTACTTCCAGCACCCCGAGTGACCACTTCAGATGTGCAGAGGCAACACTGCTCAGGGCTGTAACAGTTCCACTATTAATGCATCACTTTTATTTGATATCTCACTGTTTTCCCAGCGTGGATCAAATTATGTGCCAAAGCAAACCAGTGCAGGGAGAGAAAAGAATCCCTGTGCAAACTCCAGCGACTGCTCAGCTGCTCTGACACCAGCCAGCAAACAAAGCACAGCACATATTGCCTGGCTTGACAAGCAAACTCAAAATATTCTCTGATAAAATCCCTGGAATAATTTCCTTTGTTCTGGTATAATACCTGCAGAACTCATCGCTGGCTCTGGAATTAACATGATGCAAAGCACTGATAAGAACCCCACTGATGTTGTCCTTTTTATGCTGAATGGGATTTTTATTAAAAAATACCCTTCCAATAAAAGCAACAAACACTAGAGACACATTTTCAATTATTTTCAAATTAAAAATAGAAAGCATCCCAGAAGGACTTTGCTTTCATGTCTTTCCCAGGCAAAGCTCAGTGTTAAATCAACACCTACAAATACCTGCTTGCAGGTGTAACTGAGGACACAGAGAAGCACCAGTGTGACACAATCATTATAAACTGAGCAACTTGGGCTGCTGGAAAATGTCAATGAGATGATCTTTAAGGTCCCTTCAAACCCAAACCACTCCATGATGCTGTAGGAACAGGACAAGTGTTCTCTGTAACATCTAATACCCACAGATTCCTTTTTGAACCTCCCTAGTCCCTTCCAGCCTCAATTACTTCAAGATTCTAAAAATTATCCACCTCATGGCTCACATGAACTCCATCTTCAGCAGTGCCAGGGTTTAGAGGAGCAGGTTTGGGTTTCAGGAGTGAATAATGGATTAATTTTAGAGGTACCCAGGTGCCTAAAGATGCATTTTACAACCAGTCGTGGCTTACTATGTCTGGATAATCAATTCCCTTAATTCAATTTTCCCCCAGTGTAATAACCATTAGAAATTCAGCCTGTACCCAGGGGAGACTGCAGAAATCCCCAAACTCTCACTTCTCTGCTGTCTAGAGATGCCTCAGCACCCACAATTCCTCACCTAAACCCCTATGGATGCCTCTTATGTCAGTGCTGAATTTGGTAACTAATTCCTAAATCCTGATGATCTCATATTTATAACAGTGGGAACAAACCCTTCAAATTTATGGAAGCTTCCCAGGGGCAGGGAGGTCACGGGGCTGATCCCTGCCCTGAGAAACGGGTTCAGGCAGAGAGGAAATGGCACAAAAACACAGAAGTGGGTGCTTGGAGCTGGGTGCAAAGGGAAGAAACACTCCAATTCCAAAGATCCACACTGCAGGCACAGCCAGGCTCCAGCTCCAAAGGCTGAAGAACTTTAGGACATCCTTGGTATTCAAAAACCGTGTGGATGTGGCACTTAGGGACATGGGGACAGGGGTGAGTGGTGGCCTCGGCAGCGCTGCAGCAGCCAGTGGGATTTGATGGCCCTAAAGGTATTTTCCAACCTCAGTAATTCTGTGATTCCACGCAGGAAGCTGCTCAAGTCTGCACCTGGAATGCTGTGCCTGCATTTCCAGTGTTCCTCCCTGGAAATGGAAGAGCTCAGCCCGTGGGACACCCTCCCAGAGAGAAGGTTTGGGAGATAAAAAGGTGGGAGAAGGTTCTGGAGGTGTTCAAGAAGAAACAACACAGACTGTCCACTGAGAAAAACAGAATAAATCCTTCAGGAGAAGGTTTGGGGAAAAGGTAGAAGGTTCTGGAGGTGTGCAAGAAGAAACAACACAGACTGTCCACTGAGAAAAACAGAATAAATCCTTCAGGAGAAGGTTTGGGGGATAAAAGGTAGGAGAAGGTTTTGGAGATGTGCAAGAAGAAACAACAAAGATTGTCCACTAAGAAAAACAGAGTAAATCTTCCTTCTTTTTCGTTCATACCCAAAAAACCAGCTTTCCATGGTGGCTTTTCCAGCTGGATGGGCTTGAAAGAGGGAAAGTTTATCAGCTAACTCACAAACACACAAGGAAGTCAGCTTTTCAGGTCAGAGCTGCTCCCACAATGAGGTAAATGAAAATATAACCAGATTTTATGGAGATCTGGACTTACACAGCAGCTGGATCCCACTGCCTGCCTGATTAGCTGGGGCTAATCAGAAATTAGTGAATTATTTTCTACTTGGAGCAATTGCTGGCTGTAATGGAAAAACTCCATTTATCAGTAGGTATAAGAAAAGAATTTTTAAAAAATCCTAAAACCTTTTATTCAGACAAACTACATTTTGTCAATAACTTAGTCGTTCTGAATTTCACAGACCACAAAAGTTCACAAAATGAAATTCAGCAGCAGATATGTAAGAAACCTGCTCTCTATGGCAGTCAAGGCCAGTGAGCAGAACACAAAATCTTAAAAAAAAATGGCAGCTCAAAAGGAAGTTATAGTGTAAATAATTCCCATTATAGGCAAAGCTTTCACCTTGAAGCTCCTGTTAAAAGAAGTTCATGGGAAATACACATATTGGTAGCCAAGACTCCCTTTTCAGCAGCCACAAACAGAAAGAAAACAGAATTACAGGAGGGTTGGGTTTTCTTTTCTTTTTTTCTGAATAGGATTTAAAAATAGTTAAATAAACAGACAGAACCCCCTTGCCAGTGTGATTATTTCCTCCAGGCACATCTCCCTACAGGAAGGGCCCATGGGCACTAAGATCCCGTGGAAACAAACTGTCCTGGAGAAGTCCAAGCCATAAATAACTCCAGGGCTCCAAAGCCTTTTCTCCCTGGTGAACAGTTGTTGGCAGTGCCACCATGAAGTCCCTGCTCTTCCGCTATTTCTCTTCAACTTTTAGGAAATCCAAGGAAATCCATCCAGCCCTTCCCTGCCCCGATGGGGGGAAATCCCAGCAGCTGCTGGAGAGCAGAACGGGACACTGACCTTGAAACAATCAGGGTGGAATGGCCACAGCACCTTTTTCTCCAGAACTGAGGGTGTTTTTTAAATGTAAAATCACAATTTCCTCACCAATTAGTTGCTACAACAGGATAAAGCCTGGCTTAAGGCTCAGCTCCACACAATAACAAATGAATGTTTGCCCGAGCTGCAAAAAGAGAAGACAAACAAGCTCCATCTGACCTCAGAGCTGTCAGGCTCTGAAAGCATGTCCACACCCTCCAGGGAATTAAAATCACAGGGAGGCATTCCAGAACCTGCCTACCTGCACAAACACATACACACACACACATTTGTGCTTTTATAGAGAGTTTTTTCCAGACAAAAATGGTATCACACAGGTCCAAAATGGACTTTAACTGTGATCATTCAGATAGAGAGGCAAATCCAATCGACATCCAAAACATTTAATTAAAAAGAAAAGCATGCATTTCTAACCAGTACATGGGGCTGCTTCCTCATCAGTGCATGGTCAGGCTGTAGTTTTACATCTGAATCCTTCTCCCCACTTTACTGCATCTAGAAATAAAGACAGAACTGTGAATTGTGTAATGGCATGTCATATGTTCAATTTATCTAAAACCAGCACCTTTATCAGCACAATTCCTTTGCTTTATTTTTTTTTCCCTGTATTCTGAGTTTCTGTCTGATCTCATTCTCCTTGCCCTTCATTTACCTGGAAAATGAGAGGTTTTTCCATATTTGAATAACAGAAGCAACATACCCCATGGAATAAAGGAAAATGGGCTGAAGTGAGAAGATCTGATTTTTGTTCTAAACCTGGTTTGTGGCCTTGGAATGAGGCACTTTTCTGCACATTTCCCCTCTCTCCCTTTGCCTTTCTTGTCTGCTTACATTACAAGCTCTCTGCAGCCTGTTAGGTGTTTATACAGCACCAAACAGATAAGATTCAGCTTTCCTCAGAATCACAAGATAACACAAACCCAGAAACAATAAATCTTATCAATCACCACCTACATTATTGCTCTCGAAACATGAAACACATTTCAAAGTGATTTTCAATAGTTACTTTCTTTAAAGGAAAAGAAATAAAAATGACTCATGGAAGAAAAGTGTGTCCAAGAGGAAACAGATCCCAGATCTGATTTTTGTTCTAAACCTGGTTTGTGGCCTTGGAATGAGGCACTTTTCTGCACATTTCCCCTCTCTCCCTTTGCCTTTCTTGTCTGCTTACATTACAAGCTCTCTGCAGCCTGTTAGGTGTTTATACAGCACCAAACAGATAAGATTCAGCTTTCCTCAGAATCACAAGATAACACAAACCCAGAAACAATAAATCTTATCAATCACCACCTACATTATTGCTCTCAAAACATGAAACACATTTCAAAGTGATTTTCAATAGTTACTTTCTTTAAAGGAAAAGAAATAAAAATGACTCATGGAAGAAAAGTGTGCCCAAGATCCCTTAACTGGTTTTTTTTTTTTTTTTTTGGATTTTTTTTCCAATACATTCCACCTGTTTTAAACACATTGACCAAGAGCTGCATTTCTGTATCTTTACTACAAGGCCAGGACACACCTCTGCCACTGACCTCGATATTCCCACCTAGAGCTGGGTCACAGGATGCTCCACAGTGTGCTGGGAGCAGCCAAAGCACAGAACAGACTTTGGAGCTGTAATCCCACTTTTCCTGCTCTCCCAAATGTTACAACTCGCACAGTGCAAGCACCAGACCCATTCCTGTGTCACCCAGGAGCAAAAGGAGCACACAAACACCATCTTGGTCTGGTTTTACCTCTGTGGGTCACCTTTAAAAGTGATTTTCTTTCCAGCCTCTCTGTACGATATTCAGAGAGACGTCTTGAGGGAGAAGAAGTGACAAAGAGGAATTCAGCTAACCTATTTTCTTTCTTGTCACTACTTGATAATCTCTTTATCTGCTCTCATCTCACCAGGTGCAGACAGACTTATTTCCCCATGGACAGGGCCAACCCCTCTCCCAAAGTGCCCACGTGCCCCTGGACTTCCTTTCCCAGAGCGTTTCAAATTCACATTGCAAAGTGCCCCTGATCTTTTGGGGTAAGCAGAGCCAGATGTAACAGATGTAAACACATAAAATGTCAGTGCTTATTGCCACACACATCTTTAGCCTTTCAGGGAGCTCCTGTGGCCATGGGCATACAGGGAACATTGGTAAGAATCTCCCCATCAACAGAAGTTTGCAGTTTCACTGAAACACAACTCACTAGCACATATATTTTACAGTTTGACCCCGCAGTCGATAAATTATGGTTTTGGTGTGAACAGAAAACATTTTCTAAAGCTCTGAGGTGATTTAGAAACCCCAATTCTGCTTTCAGCTGCACCTTAATCCTTCTTGACTTCTATTGAGGCTTTAGCCCAGCAATGTTTGCTCTCCTGCTGGCACTGCACTCAGCCTTTCAGAGAGCCTCCACCTCCCCAAAGCAATGTGACTGCAATTTGTAATGCCAAATGCAAATCTCCTCAGCCACAGCCTGTGCCAGCTGGGCACAGCCCAACCAAGCTGTGCCAGCCTGGTCCAAGCTTTGCAAGACATGCCTGGGCTGGAAAAGAGAGCAAACTCCAACCCAGCCCCGTGCAGAATCACCAGGGCTGCAAAGCAGAGTGGAAAAATCCTTCTGCCACAAACCAGGGCAGAAGAGAGGCCATTTTCAGGATTTCAGTTCATCACAGGGCTGGACTCAGGGAGTTCAAGACAAGATGCTGTTATTACATCAGGTCCAGACTTCCTGCCATTACACTGCCCCCAGTTAGCTCTGCATTAAGCCAATTCTCCTGCAATTGATTAAAAGCTCTCCTCCAAATAAAATTTAAAAAAAGAAATCTCCTGGTTATTTAGAGGAAAAGGAAGAAATTCAACACTATTTCAACCTGAGATTCCGAGGGAGGAGGGAATGATGATTTGTATCTCCCCCTCCTCCTATTTTTTAATCTCTCTCAGAAATCACAGCAGAGAACAGTAACTCAAATGCTTTATAGCTGAATTCATTTTCATCAGCTGTCTCCTATCTTTACCAGTTGTTTGTCTGCTTCTCCCATTTATGCTGTGCATCTTGGACTTATCGATCTTGTAAGCTTTAAATTACAGCTATCCATGAAAAAAAAAGAAAAAAAATAAGCAAGAGGCAAACCACAACAGGAAAAACCAGACCTAATAAAGGATTTCTGAAGGGCTGCTCACTTTTGCTAGAAGAAAATTTTAATGGCATTTCCTGGAGGGAAGGTCTGCAGGGCTGAAGTTATTAGTGGACTGTATGGACAGAGGACAGGCAAAAAAAAAAGCTGTCAGATTGAAGGGTTTATAGCAAAAAAAAAAAAAAAAAAAAAAAAAAATCCAGTGAAAAGTGTAGGAAAACTTGGGGGAAAAATACAAGATTTATACAAGTATCAATCAGCTGATTTATAGCACTGGGTTTATTAGAGCCAGCCAGTTTATAGCAGTTCTTGTGGTTTCAGGCTGAGTTTAAGCAATAAGAATTCACTGCTCCCCAAAACCACTGGAAATATTTCCCATGCCAAAGGCAGAGCAGGGGCAGAGCTGATTTCTGTGCTCAAGGGCACCCACTGCAGCTCAGAGCCTGCTCAGGGGCTCACTCCAGGCTTCTGGGGCTGTCAGAGAACCATGGAATCACAGAATGATTGAAACAGCCCTTAAAATCATCTCATTCCATCCCTCCTTCCATGGGCAGAGATACCTTCCACTGCCTTCCTTAAAGAACTCCATGAATCCCCAGGATCCTCCTGCACCTCCAATCCAATATTCCTGCAGTGATCCTGCCATTCCCCAGGGAAGCTCTTCCAGAATTTTGCCCAAGACTCTTCTACAACATGAAGGAAAAATTATGACTCAGGGGCCTCTGTTCCAGGTGTTCCCACCTGGGGTGATGCTGTGGGAAGGGGAAAAGGGAAAGGGAAAGATCATCATTCCTCTTGTGGAACAACCAGGCACAGCCAGCTCTGGCCTCCCTAGCTGGGCTCTCTGGCTGCAGCAAGTTCCTTAAGTTTAAAAATCAACCACAGGGTTTATTTCACTGAGGAATAACTGAAACCAGGTCTGTCTTAATGAGAAAACCTGTCTCCAGTCTGCACTGAAAACTCAGCCTGTTGGGTTTTCATGCCTTGAGTACAAGGGAAAAACCTGCACCCTTCCTAACTGGGATTTCTGACTGTCCTAGAAACCTTGTGGCCTGAATCAAATTGAGGTGCCCTGGTGTGGTAAACCTGTTGGGATTTTTAAAAATGAAAATCTAATCTTTTCCTCTGTGGGTATGGGCAAAGTGTCTGCATGTCTGGGTTCCTGCAGAAGCATTTTACTGCTCTGATGTTCCACAAGGACACGGTGGGACTCTGTCTTTCAGGTTCCCAAAAGTCAGAGGAGCTGACAGCTGCCCCAGTGAGGGAATGCAGGTGACATTTCCCTGCACTCAGCTGCTCACTCCTGCCTTGCAGCACGGGGAGAGGCAGCAGGGCACAGAGGTGCCTTGGGGACATCCCTGATCCCCGTGTCCAGCTGGGGCTGCTCGGAGTCTGAGCAGCACCAGGAGCAGGGCTGGCATCACCCACTGCCTCTGGCCGTGCCACAGATGGCACCAGCAGCTCCCCAGGCTGCTGCACCTCCAGCTGGCACAGGAGGAGCAAACAAAGAGGGATGAGCAGCCCCTGCTGCAATGTGACCTTCACATCCCATCCGTGCATTGCTCCTCAACAGATATACAAATTACAAAGTCAAAACCTGCCAGTCAGGCTCAGATAATGCTCTGCAAATGACAAATAAATATTTAAATGTTACTTGGGCTGTGCCTGCTGCAGATCCCGCAGAACAGAGGAAGGGAATTCACAGATTTGTCCTGGAGGACTTGAGAAGGAAGAATGGCATCAAAGGAGGGGAATGCTGGCCAGGATGGAGCTCTGGCACTGCTCTGGCTGCTCCTGAAGCCACCCTGCTCCTCCAGCACTGCCTGCACATCAAACCTGCCTGGACTCTGCTCTCAGGGCACTCCACCAAGGCTGATCCTATTTCAGGGAGGTGTGGGTGGCAAAGGGATGAAAGGACCTAAATCCCAGCACCCCAGCTGGGCATTGTCCCCATCAGCCCCAGCAGTGAGGCATGAGCTGCCCTTGTGCTTGTCAACAGCTGAAGGGTTTTCAAGGAGGAGGTTCCGTCAAGCAATAAAAAGATGCTTTAACCAGCTTGGAAAATAGCACAGGGTGAAATGGATAAACTTTCCCAGCAAAAGGTCAAGGTCCTTACAGCTTATGGATGCCACAGCAATGCAAATGTGCTAAAGGGAGCATTTACAGTGATGTCTTCTGACTAACACCAAGTACATAAAATTTATAGGGCTTGAGAAAAAGAACAGCAAGAGAGAAAAAAACCCTTTAATAAAGAAACAAACAAACATTCTCAATATAATTTTACCCATGTGCATTTTGAACACAACCCAGCAAAGATGCAGTGTGCTGAGTAGAGTCAACACAAGCATTTTTCTGTTCCTTAAATAATATGATTATT